AAAAAAAAATAATAAGCCACTCATACATTATCAAAGACAAGAAGACAAAAAAATAGTTATTACACATTTAAAGCTATATAGAATCACATATTCAAGTAATTTGATTTTTTCACTATCACATCTCTAATCATGAGACATACACATTTATAGGAGTTTCTGAAAAATTGAACAGAGATTTAATGTAAAAAAAAATAACTTGTTTTTTGTAATGATGAGAATTACAAGATAAAAAAAGAAATGAATATCATTTTTCTAACCATAAATAGAGTACGAAGACAATTAGTGCAATAGCAACTGTAATACCACCATAAAAGAATGTACCACCATCTATATAAAAAGTATATAAATGATTAAAAGAAAAGAAAGCGTTATAGATTTATAATTACTTTTAACTGCAACATCAAGTTTTTCGTTATTTGCTGGTTTTTTAATGTCTGAATCGTTATTAAAATTCGTCTTTTTTGACGGTAAATCTTGATTCATTTTAATATCTTTCTGTTCATTTGTATTTGTTAAAATTCGTGATCGAATTTCACTTAAATCATTTCGTGTTGTTGATTGTATATCAGATTGTTTTGTATAACGATTTATATTGGTAGAAAATGTCTCACCTGAAGATACATTTGTTGTTCGAAATGGTGTTGCTTTATGTTCATGACGCATTACCACTGGTTCCTCATCTTGAAAATCATATGGATTGCGTAAACCATATGACATATTACTATTACGTGGTTCTGGTTTAGTTGATGAACGTTGTGGTGAATAGGAATGTGTTATTGTTTCATCAGATTTTGGTTTTGATGTACTCGATAAATTTGGATAATAGGATGACAAATTACGTGAATTTTTATCATCGATTTCAACACGATTTAATGGTATACGTGGTTCTTGAAATTCATGCATAAGTGAACGAGTAGTTGGCGATAGAATACTAACATCTTCATTTCTAAAATATTTGAAAAAAAAGAGAGAAATATTGAATATTTCAATTATTCATACTTACCGAAGTAATGAACTTCGAGTAGCTCGTGGTGGTGGTGTTGTTGAAACTGGTATATCTATTTCGATCATATCTTCTTGGCCTAAAGAGAATATTTCCGTATTTGTTTGTCTTTTAAATAAGTTTTACCTTCAGTAGTTTCATTGGTTATTGTTTCAAGTAACTTACGTTGATAAATTGCTCGAGTGTGACCTAAAAAAATGGCTTATAAAAATTGAAAATCTTTTTTGTTCAAGTTTCCTTACCAGTAACAGGTCCAACAGTAAGACCATTCTCAATCAGATTCGTACGAAGTTCAAGATCATTTAATTTCGCAACATCAATACCTTTGTTTAAAGCCTAATCACGAAAAAAAAATTATAAATTTCAATAAAAAGAAACAAGTTTTCTTACCAATGAGTGAAGACGTATAACATTTGATAAAGTATCTTTGGATGCATATTGTCCAATTTCATACCCAATATCTTTTAATTTACGTTGTAAATCTACTTTATTCGACATGTTTAATGTTAGAAATAGAAATGATTTCGAAGAACAAAGGCTCAATCTTTATGCTTTTTCTTCTTTTTATAAACCAACGAATAGCAATATTACCACACATATTTATGACTCATATTTTCAATCTTCCAATCAAAAGACAAGAAAATTCATGAGTCATATTATGTCACTGATTCTAGATAACACAACTAAACATAATTGAAGTTCATATTTGGCTGATGACATTGCTTTCTATTATTCCTATCTATTATCTTCTACTTATTCCATCAACAATAATAATTGCTTTAACATTATATGGTCTTAGTTGGATTGGTTTTCAATTATTTATTCATAATTAAACAATGAATTTAGTACAAATCGAACGAACATTTAGAATTGAACAATTATTAGAAAATACATTGAAAAAATTTGAAAATAAAGATTCAAATAATTATAAACAAATTGAAAATATACTTCAGTCAAAAACAACGAAATACATTCCAGCATCAGTTATAATTGATGCATATAAATTATCGGATAAAGACAATTACCTTCATGAAATTTTAACTGGCTGTGATTTATTTGTACCAGCTTATGCTGAACCAGAACGAAATCCTGAATTAAATGAACGTGTTGAAAGATTGAAAGCTCAACAAGCAAATCGAGAATATGATGAAATGACAAAAAATGTTAATTTTAATCGTTTACATCAAAATAAATCTACAGATTCATTTATGCCTGATATGAGATCTATGCAAGGACAATTAATAACTGTTGCAAATGTTTTCTTAACTATTGGTGGTGCATTTGTATTTGGTTATAAAGCAGTTGAATATTCTGGAATAAAAAATTTTCCTCTACAAGTATCATGTGGACTTCTCTGTGCATTTATTGTCGCTATTGCTGATTTGTATTTTCTTTTTAAACGTTTAAATACATTAGATTAAAAAGATTTGATGCAATTCAATGAATACGAAGTCATTCATTATAAAATTACCTTTTAGAGGCCATCGATATCATAATCGTGAATAGTACGATTACACATGATTATATGAGTAGATGAAAATGAATCGAAATATATAAAAAAAAGTTTTTTTGATTTTTATCTCAAGTAAATTTGAATCAGCTAGTTGGTTTTGTTTTGGGAACTTTTAATAATGTATGGAAATAAAAGATGTTCCTGCGTACTATCTTCAACATAGATAATTATCGAAATAAGAAATAAACATTAAACGAAGAGAATTACTAAATGCTTTATTTTTAGAGTAGATTATTGTATGTTCTATCATATAGTTGATGTTGAATATACAAATGTCTGTAATATATATGTAATGAATATAATTTTGTCGATTATAAATAGTAAAATGACTGACATCTATGTTGTTACTTTGAATATTAATTCTAGTTGGTGTTGCTTTTTATATAAGGAAAAGATATAAACAATGGATTCAATGATTCATCGAAATTTAGTTATTTGAGTTTGAGATAAGCTACTAACCATTTTGATTATTTGTAGTTTTAGAGAGTACAGAATTTTTAAAAAACCCAATTACACATATTTTTTAAATCGAAAATATTCTAATAATGGTAAATGAATAAATATTTTATTTATCTATTTACTAATTGATAATATTTAGCTTGTTCTTGTCTTGGGTGATCTTCACATTCCTTATCGTGTTAGTGGTTTACCACAAGAATTTCGTAAACTTTTAACTCCTGGTCGTATTCAACATATATTATGTACTGGTAATTTATGTACAAAGGAAACTGTTGATTATTTAAAAACTTTGACAGCTGATGTTCATATTGTTCGTGGTGATTTTGATGATGTTAGTTATTCTTGAATATTAGAAATAGATATACTAAAACTATTTAATAATTATTTAGAATCCAAATTTTGTCGATCAAAAAGTTGTTACCGTTGGTCAATTTCGAATTGGTCTCTGTCATGGCCATCAAATTGTTCCATGGGGTAAATAATTCATAATTTGTAATATGAATTAAACTTTTGAATATTTAATATTCAGGTGACATTGAAAGTTTAAGTATGCTTCAACGTCAAATGGATGTTGATATTCTAATAACTGGTCATACACATAAATTTGAAGCATTTGAACGTGACAATAAATTTTTTATTAATCCCGGTTCAGCTACAGGAGCATTCAATGCATTAAATAGGTTTGTTTTCGTTTATTTAATTTAATTCTTATTTAAACTATTTTTTGTTTCAGTTCAACGATACCTTCATTTGTTTTAATGGATATTCAACAAGGATCACTTACACTCTATGTTTATCAATTGGTCAATGAAAAATTTACTGTTGAAAGACTTGAATATCGAAAAGCTTAAAATTTCTATTTTTATTTTCTTGATTATTATGTGATTTATTCTTTTTTCCTAGTCTGTCTTAAAAAATATCTTTGCATTCATTTATGTTGTATTTCCGTAATTTATTTTTTTTATACATATATATTGATAGAAATCATATTTAAACATTGATCTATATTTCTTCTTTTATCTTATTTCTAATAGATAAAGAAATCTAATGTTAAAAGATTCAAAATTTTCATCACATCTTCTTCATTTATCACAATTACAAATTATTAATCATAAAACTTTGGATGAATATCGAGATCGTTTAAAAACTTATGAAGTAAATTTATATTGTTAGAAACAAAAATATGAAACTATCTGTTGTTTTTTTTTTTAAATAAGGATTATCTTTGGTTTGGTAAACCTGAGAAAATCTCCGCTATTGAATGCGCACGTCGTGGCTGGGCATGTCAAGCGAGTGATTCAATTGAATGTATGAATTGTCATGCACAAATTTTAGCTCAATTACCAAGTGTTCTCAAAATAGATGAATGTAACTATTTTAGAACAAAAAAAATGTCTATTTTCTTGTATTGAATATTTAGATACAGAATCTATAGAGAATACAGCTCGATCATTAGTTGATTCTCATCATCGTTATTGTGTATGGAAATTTATGATTATTCCTGAGTCAATTATTCAATTAACAGATATTTACTCGAATGAAACAATAAATAAATTTATACAAGAAGCAGAAGAATTTTTATCACAAATAAATCAAATTGATATTGTTGGTCAATTGAAAACAGTTCGTTTTATAGATTTAAATATTCGAAAGACGATTTATTTTTATGTTTTAGTTATTTCATATTGAACCCACAGATTTTGATCTTTTATCTAGTACACATTTAAACGATTCACGTTTATTATCTGCATTTAAGATTGTTGTTTTTTGTTGGAAACTTAAAAATTCATTATTAACTTGTGATAAATGTTGTCGAGAAATTCATATTGATATAAATCATCTCGTATTCGATCCAATTCTATCTCATCGTGCTTGGTGTCCTGTTTTAAAAAATAATCAATGGAAAAAACGAATCGAACAGATTGAAAATATTCTACATGAAAAATCTCGGCATAAACTTGAAGAAATAAAAACAACACATGACGTAAAAATATATTTAAATAAACAGAACATATTTCTTATCGAATTTGTTTTTTGTCTTTTAGCAAACAGAACAGATTCTTCCTGATATAATCTCAACACAAAATCTTTTCCATGAATTAATATCAAGTAAAGAATATTACCGTTCATGTGTACAAAGTACATTTGTTGATAATACATCAACATCAGATGATATGGATCATTCAACGAAAAACTCCATGTCAACATAATTTTTTTTTGTTGTATCTCTCTTTTTTGTTGTTCTAATCTATTGAGCAGATATAAATATATTTATAAATAATAAATAGCCAAATGTTTATTCTGAAGTTCTAGACAAAAAAAACTAATGTCGACAAGTGATAAACGATATTTTCAACATACATTACATTATTTTCCTAGTGTTGAAAATGATGCATCACGTGTTACATGGGCTCATGCTGTTAATAGTCGAGAAAAACTTGAAGAAGCACTTAAAAGTGAGTGTGTGTGCCTATAGATCATAATCGGACAATTATGTTGTTTATCATTAGGTCCATTGATGTTTATTGAAGCTGACATTTTAATCGGTTCATCATCTCCTAGTCCTATTATGGCACATCCACCACATACGACAAGTGATTTAACATTTTCAGAATTTCTTAAAGAAATTAAATCAACAAGTAAAGGTTTAAAACTTGATTTTAAAGATATTAATGCATTACAGCCGTGTCTTCATGAACTTGAAACACAAAAAGATAATGTTCGTTAATTAAAATTTATTTTTTGTCAATCTTAAATTAATTTTTTCTAAATTTTAGATTAATGGTCCAATTATTCTTAATGCTGACATTGTACGTGCAAATCCTCAATGTGCTCAACCCATCGATGCTCAACGTTTTCTAAGTGAAAGTCTTGCTTTTGCTTTTCGTGTAATTCCTCAATTAATGATATCATTTTCACTTGGTTGGACAACAATCTATGATAGAACAAGCAATTCTTATACATGGTCAAGTGTTATTAATATGTATCGAACAATAACAAAAAATGATAATTATTCGCTATTTAATTTTGAAATAACATTTCCTATACGTCTTTCATTAGCACTTAATTCATTTGAACAACTTCATTGGCTTGCAACCGTAACAAAATCAGGTTTAACATTTTGGTCACCTATTGATGAAGTTGAATATACAAATGAAAATTTAATTCGTTTATCAAAATTTCGTGAACATTTTAGTCGTTCATTAATTTATTATGATTTACCATCACCATTTGATAGATGGATTAATGAAAATATTTCTAAACCAAATGAAAAAGATATATGTCCATCAATGAAAGATCATTGGCATACGACAACAGGTCAAGAAGATGATGTCTTAGTATCAGATTTTAGTGCTGTATTATTAAAATCGAATGTATTTTTACGTACAAAACAAACATTTGATTCAACTGTTGATTGTACATGGTCAGGTACAATTGAATTTTTATCTGATGCATCATCACAATCACAAGCTGTTCTCTGTTATCTCGCTGAAACTGAACATACATCAAAAGCAGGTAAATTTTTAATTTGATTATTTTTTTTGATGATATAATATATGTAAGAAATATTGATTTTTTAGGAATGACAATAACAATTTCAAAAACAGGTTCAGTTGAAGTTGTTTATGAAAATTCTCAAGGTTCATCACAAAGTGATGAAAGTCTGGTTTTTCCAAGTTATGCATATGCATTTCGTATTAAAGATTCAATATCAACAATTCATATTGAAATTTCATCACTTCATATTGAAAATCTTTCATCATTATCATCTACTCCAACTTCTATTGAATTAACTGTATTTCTTGATACAAATCGTCGACGTATAGCATCTTCAGATGAAGATAAACATTTTCATGCTGCTGTTATGGGACAAAATATTGAACATATGTCATCAACGAATCATATTCCAAATGGTGGTATTATATTTTCTCGTCTACGTCTTACGCAAGAATTAATATCGACAGATTAAATGTAAATAATTGCTCTAGTCATTCACGTATCTTACTTTCTTTTTTTCATTATTAAAACAAAATGTCTTTTAACAGTATTTCTTAATCTTGAAAACTAATGATTGATCTTTAAGTAATAAAAAAGCTTTAAACAATTTATTATGAAATAAATGAATCTGTACATATTACATTCTCTATTTAGTGCCCATATGTTAATATTTTATATTAGTCAATAATGGCAGTCTTCTTTTTTTCAGCTTTCTTACGTAATGGTTCATGATGATTAGTAAAATAATAATAATTTCCTTCGGTAGCTTTATCACCTAAGCAAAATGTTAAATTCAAACGCCATCCCCCGGCTGGCCATGACAAACCATGTAAAGTTAATGTATCTAATTTAGTTGATATACTTTCATGAGGGTCTAGTACAGTTGGTTCAACATCACGTGCTTGACCATGACCAGGAAAAAAATGATTACCTGCATCTGTCATAACGAATACACTTTCTTCCCAGAGAATTCTTTTTGAGTGAGTATCACGTAATAATGCAGGAATTTCAATAGGTCGATTACTTTTATTTGTTACTGTTAGTTTGAAAACACCTATGATAAGACGATGAAATGAAAATGTAAATAGGAGATATTTTATACATACCATCACCATCTGGATTTTGATATTCGTTTGTATGAGTAGCTTTGACAGGTTCACATGAAAATAAAATATCATCTGTAGTAATAAGTAATGGCCGACCAGTTATTGCACATTTCTCATTATTAGCAAAACATTTATTATTGTACCATTTGATATGTTTGGCATGTGAATATTGCCAAGGACTTTCATACTGTCCATTCCGTTGTTTATTCCAACCTAATGGTATTTTTGATGAATGAAGTAATTGTTCAATAGTAGAATTATCTAATTCAACTAGTGTATTAATATGATGTCCATCACTTAAACATACAAGATAAGTTAAACCAACTACCGGTTCTTTGACTTGTTTTTGTTCTCGTTCATCTGATATTGTTTCTGAACCATTAGGATTTTGAATAATTCTGTGAAGAAATTGACCCGCACCATGTTGATGATAACTAAAGTCTGTTGTAGAGACAGAACCACGTAAAGGTCGAATATTTTGTAATCTTAATTTATAATGATTAATTGGTGGTAAAGAACGTGTAGAAATACCAGGAATAACATCAGTTAGAGTACCAATAAATGCAATTGGTGTTTTTGTCAAATATTCAATTGCTTGTTCTTTACTTAATACCATATTTTCTGCAACGAAAATAATATGATAAGACGAGTATTTATATATGCATATCCTTGACAAAAAAAGAAGTTTATGAATCAGAAACTATCAAATATACATATTTATATATATGAATCATTATCTTACAATTTTTAGAGGCGTAATGGAATTAATAAATGGTAGAAAAATGCTTTGTTTTTTCAATTTATGTATTTGTAATCAAAACATTAATGATATAATAAATGCCTTTAGAATCCATTCATACTCGAATAAAACTGGAAAAATATATTAATATGAAATATGAGTACTTCAAGAATAGTTGGTCCTTGATGAATTCTATATGCAATTGCTTGTGATAGTATATATTTTATGAAAGATAACAAAGCAAGATAAATTTATTCTAAACTTATTTATGAAAAAAATTAATACAATAGTTCACTTTTTACATGTTTTCTCACATGCCAGTGCTGATCGAAAATTATTTTTATTTCCTCGACAACCGGTATATATAAATGATTTACATTTGTTTGTTTTTGAATCATAATACATTCGTAATTTTGATTGTTGACATAAACCAATATTTTTCGGTAATTTACATAATGAAGGTTCTGAAAAAGAAATAATAAGACATATTCAATTAGCAACGTTTATCTACTCACTTTTTGATTTCTTTTGTGAAATTTTCATTAAATATTTTACTGGAATAGTGTCTGTCTTAAATGTCGATGATGAACAAATTTCTGAATACAGAAAAATTAAAAATGCATTAAAATAAATAAATCATCTACATACCAAGTATAATGCATAGTATTATCGTTAGGAGTATTATACGGATTAACATAATGCTTAATCGTTTGAGGTTTATTTTGTGTTATCGTTAGTCGTTTATTATATATTTATGAGGTTGGCGAATATAGAAAAATTTGTTTCTCGGCTTTTACCGATATATCATATGTCCTTAGTTGTTTTTCTTTGTTCGGTGTTGCCGTCAATCAAGTAAGGATTGATTTCTGTTGACACTAGTGTAGAATAAACTTCAACAAGAATAATATTGCAATTAATATATTTAAGATGAATACAATATGTCAATCATTATCAACGGGAGACAAAAGTTAATTAGAACACCTACTTGTCAAATTTTTGTGAAAAACTTTTGAATTATATTTTGTAGTTTTATTATGAATCAAAAAACACAAAGCAGACTAACTAAAAAAATAATGTTTTCGTTATTCATTGGTTGTGCGTTTTAACGCGGATTTTTCATTAAGATAAGCTTCTATATATCGATTAACTTCATCAGGTGCATCTTGTTGTACCCAATGTGATGCATTTTGAATTTTCTTCAGACAAACATCTGAACAATAGATTTTACTAGCATCAGCAAGTTCTTCACCTAATGCTCCATCTTTACAACCCCATATAATTAATACAGGTACATTTATTTTTTTTTCTAAATCATCTCTCGGATGTCTGAAGAAAGCACGATAATAATTTATTGCTGCAGTTGGTGTTCCTATAAATTATATGAGATAAATAGATAATAGAAATGAATTAATTTAGTAGTTGACCTTTTTGAGAAAATGTATATTTAAAAACTTCAAGATCATCTGATGTCATATTATTTGTATTTATCAAACCCATTGGTTTTGTACAAAAGATTTGTTTAAAAAGCGCAAGATCATTTGATTGAAATAATAATTCAGGCATAAATGGTACTTGATAGAAGAACATATACCTAATATAAAATAATTCTATATAAACAAAATCATATTTTTGTAGAAATAATAAAATAACCATGATTTTCGAAGTTGTTTCAATGATAGACTATCACGATAGGCACCTGGATGTGGGGCATTCAATATAATCAGTTTATCGATTAAATTAGGATAACTAGTAAAGAAAAAATTAATTAATGAAAAAATAAAATCAATATACATACAGCATAGGAACTACCCATGCAATCAATGCTCCCCAATCATGAGCAACTAAAATACATGATTTGTAACCTGCAAATATCAAAAAAGAATATATGAACAGATTAGATTATTCATTCTAACCAAGCGCTTCGACAAGATCAGCAATATCACCCGCTAATAGATCAATTTTATAATCTTTAACATTGGCAGGTTTTGAACTAAGACCATAACCACGTAGATCAAAAGCAACAACTCTTTACAATAAATAATAATTAGTATTTTTAAGATAATTATTGATTAATTTACCGATAATTTTTTGAAAAAAATTTCATTTGATATCTCCATGTATACCAACATTCAGGAAAACCATGAACAAATAACATTAACGGTTGATCTGATGTACCTTTTGATACATAATGAAGACTAATGCCAGATGACTAAAAGATTATGAACTTTTATGAGTCATATTGGTAGAAGAAAAACAACTTGCTTTTAATTTAATCATATCATGTTTTCCATAGATAGGATCCATTGCTTGTGCTGGTGGTGTTGCTCGTTCAACACGTCGGAAAAATTTGCTTGGACCATTATAAATGAGAAGAAGAACTGCGGAAAATGTTCCTAATGTACCATAAAATAATGTAAGAACTATCTTTCCAACCACCATCAATATCTGCGTATGAATTGGTATCGAATCCATTCAAAATAAAATCTAAAAGAAGTAATATAACTATCAAATACTTGCATTATTTTTTAGAAGGTCGAAGTCTATGTAAAATATCTTTGAGTAAATAGTTATTGAAGAGAAATGTTATATGACAAAAACATGCCGAGATATATACTTTTTAAATATGATATAAGCGTTTTAAACGACATCTATTGGTAACTATCAATGATTTGATTTTATTAAATTTTGGTTCGTTGACAATCGAAAGAAGAGAAGAGTAGTAATAATAATCAGAGCAATATTTCTTTAGATTATTTGATCGTTTTTTTTTATTAAAATTAAATAATATGCGACGTAGTCGACCACGTTTTCCACCTTGGCGTCAAAATCGACCACCTTATCAACATTCGTATCGGTAATTAAAGATTTTATTATTATTTGTTAAAATAAATTTATTTGCATCTTTCATTAGACCTCCATTTTCTCAACATCAGTTTCAACAGAATCAATCAAGTGATGTCTTTGATTTCTTAAATGTATATGTCACAATATACTTACTTCTTATAATATATAATTTCTTTTTTTTAGTTACCTGAAGCATTTCCATCGATAAAACAACTCTTCGATGATCCAATATTAACTGCAGTTAGATAATTATCGTTGTGTTTATTTAATAAATCTTATTTTGTTTAGATTATTATGGAACGTATTCAACAAATAACACCAGCTGCAGCTGATAGCTTTGCTTTAATGAATTTTGGTTCAGTTATTCGACAAAAACTTGATATACTTGTTCTTTCACCAAGTTCATTTACTGCTTGTGTACGTTATTTCTTGTACAAAAACTTATATATCTATTTTGTTTTTAGCAAGTAAGTGAAGTTCGTGATGTTGGTTCATATAAACATAATACAATAATCAATCCACCAATTGGTTCTCAAATACCTCTTACATCTGATCTTGTTGTAGTTCTTAAAACACTTCCAACAAGTATATATAAAATATAGATTTTTTTTCTCTATAAACTATACTTGTATTTAGGAGAAGCAATAGATCAATTAGGCAATCGTTTAAAACAAGATCTTCAAAATGAAATCGAATGTAAGTATTCTCATTGTTTTCCAAAAATATCAAAAAAACATGTTTATTAATAGTACTTTCAATTCGTTCTACTGATTATGGTCTTTCACTTGAAAATGGTAACATGGCTGTACATGTTTTGTTAACAACATTACCAACAAATTGGCAATCACTTGATTCATCATTGCATTTAGATCGAACAATATGTAAACAAAATTTTTATGCAATAAAACATGCAAAATGGGTTGATGAAGTTTGTATTCATCCATCAAATAAACTTCTTGTTCGTTTATTAAAAGATTTACGACAACGTTTCAATGGTCTTGAACCACTTAATCCATGGTTAATTAATTTACTTGCTCATCATTGTGTAACAAATAATAATAATTCAACAGAACAATTACCTCCTAGTTATGCTTTTAAGTAAATATAACATCTATGAATTAATTTTAAATTTTATTTTCTAATATTTATAGACGAGCATTACAACTTTTATCAAGTGGTCTATTTTTACCTGGTTCAAATGGTTTATATGATCCAATTAATGATACATATACAAATTTATCTCGACCAAAACCAATAATGACGTTGGAAGAACAAGATCGTTTGTGTTATACAAGTCAAACATTATTACGAGCACTAGCAATACATCCTAAATATGTTCTTGGTACTGAAAATGGACCAGATATATTTGCTGGACCTTGTGAATTAAATGGTGTTATGTTTATTGCTAATGAACCAATTGTATTTAAAGATCAATCAAATGGTCATGCAATAGATGATACTCAACAACAAGCAATGTTTGCTGAAGTTAATAGTTAAAGTCTAATTTGCTATCTTATTGTGCGTTTAAATAAAATGTATGTTGTTTAGTAAAAGCAATGATAGCTTATGTCTTAACTAACGTTTTTCATATATAAGATAATATAGATAAATATTCTTTGATTTTGATTCTTGGTAAGTATGATTATCTCATCTATTGCATTTTTTTCAGATTATAATGAGTGAGAATGACATTCCTACTAGTGAATATCGTTTTCAAGCGATTGATAAAAAATTTGAAAGTATCGATGGTAAACAAAATCGAGATCATTTAATTAAATGGTAAATAATTTTATATAATTCAATTAAACAAATATGAATTTATAGGGGTATGCGTGGAAAAATACGAGCAAATATGTATATTTTTGATCAAACATTTCCTGAATATAATGCTAAAAAATTTATTTTGGTAAATTTGATTAGATTAATATTTCGTTGTATATATCTTATTCATATATAATAGGATTTTTTCAAAGATCCTAATGTTCTGAATACATTGAAAATGTTTACTAAAGCAGGTGAATGGCAATTACTTGGTCAACCAGCTCATGATGTTCGTATTGAACAATTAAATACAAATATTCTCTCATTAGAATTTTTTGATCGTTTATTTAATAATAAAATTATACGTGAACAAGGACATATTAAAAAATGTATTGAAGAATATAAAGATGAATTTATTATCTCGGATGAACTTCGAAAAGTAGAGTTTTGATTTTTGAATAAATTCAAAAGATATTTTTGTTTTGTAGGTTTTAATTATGGATGAATTTGATAGTTATGATATATTTTCAGATAATGATCGAAAAGAATTTATATTTCAGTATGAAAATAGATTAAAACTTTTATTTTTGATCAAACCATATATATGTTTTTCTTTTTAGTTTATTTAAACATTTTTGTTTGGGTGGACAAGTTTGTCGTAAGTTATGCGTTTGTAAATAAAAAGTAGAGAGAATTTTGTTTTTTTCTCTTGATAGAATATGAAGATGATGTTCAACCTTATCTTGATGTAACAAAATCTGTTTATAAAGAAATAATTAGTGTTCAAAAAGATGCTGAATCTCAAACAATTCAAGTTGTTTCACCTGTTTTTAAAATTGAAGCATTGGTAAATAGATTTTATACAGAAATATCTTACTAATTTTGTTTTCTCTAGAATGAAAATGGTAAAAAATTTTATCCATCACGTACAGCATATGAACAAGATTTTGCTTATATAATTATTGATCCAATTAAACGACATGTTATTATTTTATCAAATTTTTATGAAGGACCTTCATTTTTTGAGTGAAAAAAACAACAACAAATAATTAGTCTTTATTGCATTCTTATCCGTCCATACATTTTATTGTTTTTGTTTTTCAATATAGGAATGAATTTGTTTAACTAATGCTTTTGGTCGTTGAGGAAGTGTATCAAAATCACAAGCATATAAAAAAGTAGAAGTGTGTAACATAGTTTGTATCAATTTTTCAATTATCCATAAATCAAATGTTGCATGTTTATTAGTATTATCACCTGTAATTCGTCTTTGAGCAATTATATATAATAGTTTATAAAGTGAAATAAAATTCATTCCTTCATTTGCTTGAAGTATTACTTGACAATGTTCATACCAAGTATCGCTCATTAGAGAACGACAATCTTCGATTCGATGTTCAATATCATCAAGTGTTAAACATAAATGTTTCCATATACGAAAAATATTAAAAGCATTAAACCAATTATGATTAATTGATATTGTATAACCAATATTTGTTACATCATGATACCATTCTGATGGTACAAATACTATATCACCTGGTTCTTGTATAAATTCAATAGGATATGGTTTAGAAAAACACCATCGTTTTCGACCACAAATATTTGCTGACCATGAATATGTTCCAAGAACATCCATATGCGATGGTGTACTTGTTCCATCACCACCCATATAAACAAAACGAAAATCATCTTCATTTTCTGCAAGACATTTTTCATTAAGCCAATCAGATTGAAAATAAATTGGAATAGAATAAAATAATGGTTTTGTTTCATCAGACATTTTTTGTAAATGCCAATCTTTACAATAATATTGTGCTGTTGTATCATTATTACGCCACAAATGAACGAATTCATCAAAACGCATTGTTAATTTATTGTCATCAGAACCATATTCAGTTACATTTGATGAGCATTTTGTTACAGGTACTATCATTGAACCATATAAATTTATTAATCGATCAAAATCAGGTTTTGTTCGATCTTCACTTAACCATTCAGCAATACATGCCCATTGGTTCATAAGACCACAATTAGCTGTAAATAATGCTGGACGATTTTTAAGAAAACATTCCCGAATAAATGTTTCATAGCTTGGTGGTTCATCATATCGAACAAGACCATATTCACTCTCATCTAGATTTGTTATCCAATCTTTTGACATAAGTTCATCGTATATATCAGACTGATTATTATTCATCTCGAAAAAAAAAATCTGCTTTGCACGTCATCAGTATAAATATAAGAAAAAGAAAAGGAAGGCACATACATACATACATACACAAATATTATATATATACAATAAAAAAAAGAAGAAAGTTAGATATGAATTTTATTCACTATCATCCCATCGTGATGATTCATCATCATTTTCTGATTCAGATTCTGGACGGATCTTATCACGACGATATTTGGCTGCTTGTTCCATAATTGCCATAACATTAAGTGATGTTGTTTTTGTTGATACTACCGCTTTCTTTTCTTCTTCTTTCTTACGATTATTTAATTGAATACCTTTTTTGATTTCATCTAATAAATCAGAATGAAGATCTCGATTAATATAGGGACGTTTATCTTGAATTAATGTTTCTGATGTAATAGAAACATTGTTATTATCTGAACTATTTTTAGCTGCTGTTGGTACATTGGTCGATAAAGGTCGCATAACAAGTGATTGAATTGTTGTATTTGGTAGAGGTGGTGCATGAGGAATATTCGATGACATCAGAAGTGGAGGAGGTGGTGGTGGTGGCGGCGGTGACGGAGATTGTTCAATAAAATCGGCTGGTGGTGGAGGTAAACTATCAAGTTCAGAAATAGTTGCTAATGTAGCCATACCCATATTCTATAAAAAAAACATTCATCAAAAAACAAATAGAAAAGAAATTCATACTGGTGGAGGAGGTGGTGGTGGTGGCGGAGGACTAGCAGATGGTCTTGTAATTGTTTGTTTCATTATTAAATGTTGTGACATATGATTTGTTGGTTCAAATTGAGACAATAATGGTGGTGGCGGAGGCGGTGGTGGTGTTGCTGGAGCATATCGATTAATAGCTGACGAATGAATTGTAAGTCGAGGTGATTGTTCTGTATTATATCCGTTTACTGCATGAGATGATGCTTCTGGTGTACTTGTACTAAAATTTATTGTTATTGATTGTTGTTCACGTGCAGATGACGATGATGATAAAGTTGGACTTCCATATTGCACTAAATCTGAATTATAATGTCGATGACTATTATTTGGATAATTTGATTGTGATCGAACAGTTCCATGAGCTAATTGATCGAAACCATTTTGATGACGTATAAATTCTTGAGGACTTCGATATTGTTGTTGTTCTTCAGATGTCTGTCGAATAAGACGAGATTGTGAAGATGATATTGGGTTTGTAGCATAGATAGATTCTTGATAATGTATTTGTTGTTGTTGATATCCTTTCTAAAACATATATATATAAATAATTAGATTCCATATTGCTTTTGTAACTAAATCCTACCGGTGATCGATGTCGTTCACTTTTACCAGATCGATGACCATGATGATGATGTTGTGGAGATTGTATCATTGATTGCATCCATAGATTAAAAAAGAAGGAAGGATCTGTATAAAATTTCATTGAATCACGACCATCATCACTATAAAAATGAATTTTTTTCATAATAAAATAGATCGAAAATTATACAAACAAACCGATAAGGATTTAGTAGATGAAGTGCAGGTGCTGGTTCAGCTTGTTCGTAGAGAAAATGAAGAGATTTCGGCATTGTTGCACGATTAACCACTTGTTGATCGATACGAGTAACACTAACAAATGGTTTTCGATTGTTAACATCTTGAATAGTTACTTCATCAATATTGGAATCTAATTCTGTTACTTTATGTTTAAGTCTTTCAATTCGTCCATGTAATGCTTCTGTACGTTGAAATATATGTCCAGCATCAGCTATTAATTCATCGAAAAGATCTTGTGCATGGGCACTCAATGAACTTAATTGTCGAATCACATTTGCAAAAGTATGATTCGCAACACATTCAAGTTCATTTGGAATATCTTTTGGAATTTGTACTTGACTCAAATAAATTGGTTCAACAGTCCGTTTATTAAACGGCATTTCATTTGAAGATTCTATTTCTTGCTTGACCGATAAAGAAGAAAAAAAATGTTTATGTCATTCAACGCTTCTATTCGTCTCCTCCAATCATATCTTATTTTTGATTTGTATATTTCTATCCAATAGAATTTAGTATGAATTATCTGAGATTATTCCTATTATAATTAAATATGTATCGAATATTAAAGACAGTTCGATTATTACCATCTTCAATTGTTATTCGATTGAATTCAACAAATAAAATTCCTATACAAAATTTAGCAACTATTGATAATGATGATGAAGACGATGATATTAGTTCCAAGAAAATCACGTCACAAAAAGATTATATATTTGCTGATTCTAAGTCATCACGATTCAAAGAAAAAAATAAACGAAAACACAAACAATGGGTTAAAGAACTTGAACAACGACAAATTGTTCCAAAAACACCATTATCATCATTTATTAAAGAAAAGAAAATAATTCGGTAGAATAAATTTAGTTTATTGTTATATTTCGAGACTAATCAATTGTAATTACTTAGTGATACATATGTTACATCAGATGGAATTGTGCAAGAAGATAATTTTCAAATCAATTTTGATACTGATCTTGACGAAGATGAACAAGATAAAGAACCGGATGAACCAATATCATTAGCTGTAGATGGACGTCGATATCCAATATGGTATTTTGCAAGTAAATTAAAACAATTGGCATCACAAAATAAGGTTAGATTATTTTTAATATTTATAAAACTAAAAAAGATTTTTGTTTAGGTTCAAGAAACACTTGATTATTTCTATAATGTAATGATGGATAAAGAACGAATTGCTCCGAATCTTTTTTGTTATCAAGTAGTTATTGGTATTTGTGCACGAAATGGTTATTTAACACAAGCATTTGATCTTTATCGAGAAGTAATTTTGTTTTCAAAGTAGATAAATAAATAAATATTTGATTTAGATGAAAGATCGAGGTTATACAACAGTCGATTCTCGAAAGATGACTAAAATCTTTACATTACTTGCTAATGCTTGTTATCGTGCATCAGATAGTAGTATGGCTATTGAATGTGCAACACAATTTTTAGATGAAATCAAATCGAAAGGATTTCGTATAGAATATCGAACCTATAATGCATTCATTGCTGCATTTGGTAAACATGGCCAACTTAAAATGGCATTTCAACTCGCTGATGAAATGACTGAAGTTGGTTTTATACCAAATGAAGATACGTATGCATCATTATTAATTGCATGTCAATCAGAAAAAAATGCTGGTTTTAAATATGCAATTGAAGTAAGACTAACAAAAGCAGATTTTGAAAGAATTACAAAATTTAAAATAATATAGATTTGGCGACGAATGCTTGCTTTTGATATTAAACCAACTCCATTTCATTTTGGTCTTTTACTTAATATTGCATGTCATTGTGGATTAGGATCACAGGAATCAATGCATAATTTACTTTTTCCACCACTACCTCAACAATTTCTTATCGATGAAGAAGAGGCGAAAGATAAAGAACAACAAAAATATCGTGGACCTTCATTTCTTTCTTCTATTAATACATTTGACCAAATACCATCAACATTCAATGATGAGGACAAACAATTAATTGCTTCCTCTCAAAATAGTTCAACATCATCAGAATTATCTTCTGAATGGTGGCAAGATCCAGATGATGTTCGAAAAGGACATTCATTATCAAATCATTTACGTCCATTTAGTAATGCAAATATTCTCAAACCAAATATGTCATATGAACAACCAAATCTTATACATCTTCGAATGCCTTCTTCATCTGCTGAAAGACTCATGTTATTAGGTGGTATTCCTGGTGTATTAAAACATATGCAAGAATGTAATGTAGTACCTAATCACATCATCTTTAATACACTTCTTAATGTAAATAGATATCTTTATGAAACTAATAAAATATTTCTTTTTTAATATTTAGCTGATTCCATCTGTAACTGAACATGAACAAGCACTTATTCATGTATCAAATGTATGTGAAGTGAAACCGAATATTCAATTTTATAATGTTCTTATTCTTCGACGATTTCGTCGAGGAGCTAAACAAGAAGCATTGGTAATCATTATTAATATTTGTTTTTTTCAACATATTTAAAAACAAACTCTTTTAGCAAGTACTTGATCTCATGCGTGAACAATGTTTATCACCTGATGAATATACATTTTCAGCATTAGCAAAAGGATGTATGACTAAATCTGATGCTGAACAATTATTCAATGAAATGAAAGTAAACTTTACTTTTATTATTAAATATAAATATATATATATATATATATATAGGATCTTAATTTAAACCCAAATCAAAAAATTTTTGAAGCAATACTTAACAATGCCTTTCATCGTACAAATTTTCCTTTACTTACATTGATCTGTGAATCATATCAAACGTATAATTTACCGGTGAATCAAAGATTTATTGAACGAATGGAAAATTTTTTATCAGAAATTCGTTCAAAAATACTTACAATGGTATAAGTGATATATTTAAATCTTATTTTTTTTTTAATATATTTTCATTTAGGAACATGCTAATGTGAATAATGATGAATATCAATTATTAAGTTCATCATATAATCGTTTTCAAAAATTCTATAATCGATGGTTACATGAAGTACCATATAACAAACGTTTTGATCAGAAAATATCTTTTCGTTTCGATAAACCAGATTTGAAAAAAAATAAATAAATATAGTATCGAAAAAAGATGTGTTGTTTCAAGTTCAAAAACAGTATGAACTGTTTCACCAAGTGTTAAAACACATTGAGTAAGTTGTGTTGTAGAATAATATGAAGCATAATAAGCAATAAAAACAGATTCAACTTCAATACTATTAATATAAGATATAACTGAATGTCCTGATTCATCTTCTGATAAACGACTAAGATAATGTTGTAATAATCGATTAGTTCCTATTTTATATTGAACATGTAAACGGATGTGGGTGCGGGCGTAAGCGAGAAGTAAATATAACACCCACACCCACCCCTAATCAAGCTAACGAAAGTTCCAATGAATTACTGTAAATTGATTCATCTGATGGATATTCAAATTTTGAACTGTGACAGGTCAACTGTCGTTGAACATATTCCGCTCTTATAAATAACGAATATAAAGGTGGATGTAAATGTAGACATGGAAGTGAATAGAAAGAGCAGACACCTACAGCCACACTCCATACCCTGTTAATAAATCAAAAGTTACTTCTGCATGAATAAATTGTTTTACAACTGAGTAGTTTTCTTTTTACGTTTCACAATAATAGTTTTATTTAAAAAGAATAAAATGAACAAAAATCAAAGAGAAATACAAATACAAATCGATCTATTTAGTTACTAGTAGGATTTTTGTGATGAGAATTTGATGGCCGAGAACTAGACGAATCAAAGTTGTCTTCGTTGTTGTCATGATGCAAATTCTTAGGATGGCTAGGTTGACACGATTGATGTTCACCATGAGGCTTAGAATGCCAAAAAGTATTACTGAATTCAAAAAGTTTTCTTTTCATGGTTTGGTAGAAACTATCTGAATGTTTTTCAGTAACTTGACGTCTCGATGACATTTGATTGCGTAGTTCTTTCCTTAGGTCTTGTTGCATCTTAATGTGATCAGTCAATTGTTTTATAGCATCTGTGTTCCGATTCTGTTCTGATTTTTTGAGTTCTTCCATGGTTAAATTGTATTCAGCATTCAAATTTTTCATAGTTTCATTAAACAGTTCATCACTATCTATAATATCAAATTCTGATTTACTTGTTGAGGTAAACCGCTGCTGTGATGATGGTTCATCCAGATCTAAAGTTGAATCTGAATTTAGGTTGAGTTTTTCTTGTGTTACATATTCAGTCGGTTGAGATAATGGTTGACCCAGATTTGAATTTGAATCTAAAGTTGAATTGAAATTCTCTTCTGTTTCATCTTCAGTCTGTTGTGCCAATAATTGATCTTGTCGATATTTACTTTCCTTTTTTAATCGAGAAATTTCATCAGCTAATAATTTAATATCATGTTTCTTTTTGTGAACATTGGGCTCACATTCTGCTATTGCATCACGTAGAAGATTATGAATCTTGTTTTTACTTGTTTCTGATGTTGCCTCTTCTATGAAGTAAATGTGAGTTGTCTCTATATGAGTGAGCTCTTGAAGTAACTTTGTTGTTTTCTTATCGTAATCAGAAGGTCGATTTGATGGAATTCCATTAATAATAAGAATCATTGAATTAGGTAAGAATTCATAAGCACCATTAATTCGCATAAAAGCAACTAAATCTTCGTCGCGTATTCGTCCATTGTTATTTCCAAAAACGAAAAGAACGATAGCACACGGATGTTGTTCAAATGCATTCATAATTTCCTGACGATTTTCATCAATTAATTTTTGATTCGCTTCAACCAGACCGGGAATATTTGCTACAGAATAGGTATGATTTCCAATAGCTGCCGACATATCCTTCCACTCTGTATGACGAGTGACGGATCGTACGGAGAATCTGCTTTCAAATGCTTGATCATCATTTAACAATCGGTTTGCTAAAAAGCTTTTTCCGACGCCACTGTTTCCCAATAGAATTAAGCCATATTTAATTTCGGATTCCATCAAGACTATTTATATCTAAAAAAAAAAATCACAAAGATCATAAGAGAAACACATTGCCTATTAGAACCATGGTTACAACTTTTTATTCTTAATAATAGATGAAACTAATGAATTATTGAATAAGCAAGAAGAAACAGCTTCTTGAACGAATTCAGACATTTTTTCAAGACGAGGTCGATCTTCTGATTCTGATATGATGAGGGTGTGGGTATGGGTGCTGTGTGAATACAGTATTCATACTCAACCACCCTTGCTATGTTATTCATTTCTTAGATCGAAAAAGGCATGAATATAGAAGAACATATATTTTTTATTTTCAAATAAAAACTTAATAGTGGTATAGAACATTGTGCATATAGATTATAAAAGAGGAAAAAAAAAGAAGAAAGAAAAGCAGCACAACAAAAATAAGAAAAAATGAATAACTACTTCAAGATATAAACATCACGACAAAACATAACTACCCCCCCCCTTTTGTCCAGTCGGTTGCGTCGTATGATTGGCTTGATTTTGACGATTTTTTAATATCTTCTATTTGTTCTCTGTCGTTGTTGCTCCGCTTGTATGTGTTTCAACTGTTGTTTCATGTGTCGAATCTCTGCCGCTCGCTTCTCTTCCATTTTCTTAGCTTCCTTAGCTTGTTGATCAATACTACGAGTCTAAAAAACAACAAAAATTCATACATAGAATCTATGATAACTAGGCATTATTGTTTTGGTACCTGATCAGCTTCAATTAAACCTGGAACATTAAAGATAGCATAATCTTGATCATTTATTGTAATCTCTTGAAATTCTGTTTCATGTGTAACAGATCGAGCAGAAAATTCATGTTTGAATGCTTCTCCATCGAGTAAAATATTAGCCAAGGAACTTTTTCCAACACCACTATTTCCAAGAATAATCAAACTACGCTTATCATTGTTATTTCTGGCCATATCTGAGACCAAACGAGAGAGCGTGTTATACGTTTAAACTATTTACTGAATAGATGTTGCGTATTTTATTATTTCCATGTCCTTATATACTCTTGTTATAGTGTAACCTCGATAGTGTAATATGTGATATGTTTTTACTTCTTTCTTCTTCCTTTTTTCTTCACATATTTATAGACATATGGTAATTCGAAGACAATAATATAATAGACGACGTGAAGAAACACTAACAACTCTCATCGGAATAAATAATATCATAGGGAAAAAAACAAGTTAAAGAGTTTAAGAAAGTATGAATTGTTATATATGTCTTATACTGTCGTTGAGATATATCTTTTATTTTTCTTTCCTTCTTCTTCTTCTTCGTCTCTCTCTCTCTCTCTCTCTCTCTCTCTCTCTCTCTCTCTTTTCGTACCGATGATATATATAATATATATGTATAGAATTTTTCCAAATGTTCTCTTACAATAGTGCTCAGGCTTTTCCCCATACCAGTTGTTGGATTTTTCCTGGTTTGTTCAGTGTATATATTGGAGTGTTTTCAAAAATAAAGCAGAAGTTTTAGTTTCGATTTTTTGTATCGATTTTCTCGCTAACAATATGTTTAATGACATTTTCTCCAACTTCTTATGATACACATGGGTGTAACAAGATAAAAACCATTGCTTGTACACGAGTTTAATACTTCTTTTTTTCTGCATTTCTTTCTTTGTTTTTAATATGTATATCATTATAATAACTCAAGTATTTTTTCAAGTTGCCTCGCCATTTTCTAAGAGCATTCATTATCTACCAAAAAACACCTCATTTTTTGCTTTGGCAAACCAATATTAGATGCCATTTGTAGCCACTCAAAGTCATTTAAGAAACAAAAAAATTGACTTAGATTACGCTTTGTCAATAAATAGTGAGGTTTTTGTCATCAACACGTTTTTATTCACTTTCCTAGTAGTATGATTGAAAAAAATGAGACAAAAAGAAAAGAAAAAAACGTAGGCCTCAATAATTAGTAAAAATGTAGAGACATGTAGTTTATGTGTGTGTAAGAAGATTTAACAAAAATATATGGTAAATAGAATCTTTTAGAAATTGATTAAATTTGCTTTGAAGTTTACAAATTGAAAATTATCAGTACTTGAAAAAATTTTCAGCATGATCAAAAATCAAGCAATATACTGATGATTTATAACTTCATTAAATGACATCTAGAGACGTGTGAGAGGAATATAGAAGACTTCAAGACTTCTAAAGGCTCTATGAGATGAAGGGTGAGTGTGAGTAGGGTTCGAGTAGGATTGTTATGCATACCCACTCACACTCTATCACATATTAATATTCGCCATGCTGTGACGAATAAGTATAATTCGAGTGAAATAAACCATAGCTAGATGAATATTTGTAATGTCAATCACCATTAGTATGTCAAAAGGGTGTGGGTGTGGGTGTGGGTAGGTGTAGGTGTGGGCAAGTGTAGGTATAGGTGTAGGTGAAGAAAAGGTGATCCTCGACTCATACCTACACTCAAACTCACAACCGTACCCACACCCACACCCACTCACACCTAAATTGTCGAAGTTTTATGAAAAGATTTTATGATTACTTTCTACTGAATTTCGAGTTTGTATGAACAACAAATTATGTTCATCTATATATATATTCTTGTGCTAAAAATAAAAAGTAATTACTCAAATAAATTTGCATCAATGGAAATTCTCAATGGCAAATCATATGTGTAAACTAATAGGTAAATCAATGATAAAGATTGCATTCATTGAAAGTTTTATTACAATACAAAAAATAAGTATTTGAAAACTAAGGTTACGAAGCAAAAATTGTAGTAATAATAATAGTTATTTAGATGATCGATACATATATATTTCTGAATTTAATTGTATGACAAGAATTTCTACTATTATGCAATATTACACAAACTTTTAATATAATTTAAATCAACTATTAAAGTACCATTAAAACCAGGAATAAAAGATAAATTTTATTATTTTCAGAATAGACAATAAAATGTTTGAAATCTTTTTGAGAAAAAAATAATCCATTTAGTTATGGAATTGTATTATATAAAAATTATTCGTCATTAAATAATTCATTCCAAAACCGTTTTAATTTAGGATTACGATTTCGAATAATAGCTGCTTGTTTTTCTTGTTGTTCTTCAACTTCAGTAATACAACATGTCTTCTTTCCACATATTTCAAGATGTGGAGCACATACCATACGACGACCCATTACTGGACAACATTCACTTTGTGCTCGACATACTTCCGCTTTATTTTTGCATGCATTTGATAATAAACCACTGAAATAAAATAA